CGACTTGGGACACTGTAGAGAATATATAAGTGAAAAGAAAAATCTCCCATCGTCCATTATGGAAAAATGGCTGATCGCCCAATGAAATCATCTCCATTATTTTAGTAATGTCTTTAGTTCTGGTGCAGCTAACTTTGAATATTCACCGAAGTACAAACATCAGCCGGTAATACCGGCCAAGATCAATGCTGGCGACTTCATTTTTAACAAATATCGGCCAATACCCATATGTTAACCAATATATCATGCAGCTGTAATGAACGTGGATGATTGTGCCAATCCACTTATCAGAGATGGGCAGATATCATAAACCAAGTGGGTGTCGCTCGCAAATGGTGTCAAAACAAGACTTTCTGTAAAATCAAATCTGACAGTGAGCCTCACACCTACAGTGGAATGTATCCACTTCCCCCCCCCCCCATGTTTAATGGGGACCAAAAGCCCCCATTGCACTTCCCTTTTCATGACACATATGGAAAAAATGAATGTTCTGCACAACAGGAATTCATAAGATCTGTCCGGTGGCTGTGAAAACAAGGATAGAGCAAAATGTTTTTTTCTGTTCTCAATACAAGTTACTGATTTCACATTCAAGCACCATTCTAACCATGTGTTGCACATACATAAACACACATGGGTGGACAGGTGTAAGACACCCTGGGTGTTCCAACTTCCTTATAAAAACTACAGTCAGTATTACCAAATCCTGCACATTAAACTTTTAAAATCTGCTTCCTGCCATTTACAGCCAACTCTTCAATTGCCAAGAGAGCAGTTTATTTCAGCAGTAGTGCAGGTTTACTGCAAAACAGTTCGCCACTCTAGTCCATCGCCTATTATATATCCACCCAGCCATAAAGAATTCATGGACGGGATGCCAGCCCATCAAAGGCCACGCGATCACACAAAATCACATGGTACGGGCAATTTAAAGACACCAATTCACTTAATCACATGTTTTTGGATCGCAAGAGGAAACCAGAGAACCTTGGGGAAAATAGGGAGATTATGTGCAAACTCTACACAGAAGGTCCAAGCAGGAATTAAGCTTCCAGGCCTGTACGTGTCAGAATACAGTGCTACCCACTGAGCCACCACACAAACCATAACCCTATAACCAGACTTCCTTTTAATGTCCTGTGGTCTATTTAATGCCCATTTAAATGCCATCTTGGTAAGCCTAAAATTTTTTTTTTCTTTTTATATATTTATATATAAGCACACTTCCAAAACAACCCCATAATTTTAGCCACCTTACAGCTGCAGCATTGACACCATGGATACTGTATGAAACTCCAAAGTTAGGTTCTCATTCCCACTTCTGCCCTTTTCATTCCAACTCTAAATGGCTCACGTTTAAACGGCATCGCCAAGCAGCACAAATCAGTTTCTCCATTAGCAGAGACAGCCAGTCCATTAGCAGAGACAGCCCACAATGCATCTGGCCACGGCGATGGCTCAGAAACACCATTCCGAGTCAGGGCAAGCTATAAGGGGGAGAAAAGGGAGGACTTTCAGGAGTCCAGACATAGGGGGGGTATGAGTACTGTATGTGTGTTGATAATTGTAGTCTTGGGTTGAGGGGGTCCCATTCAGGAGGATTTTTCAGGAGTCCAGCCCTGTCCTTGTGTGGTCCTGTTCATGGTACCGTGCAACCGGTTGTTTCCAACATCTTATGTACAAGCACCCTTACTCAGAGCTGTTTTAAATGACCAAACTGAACGAAAATTACCAAACTGAACGAAAGCAAGAAACTTCTGTTAAGCATTTGTTTGTGTGCTACAGCACTAATCCACCAAGATCTGTGTTTAGCAGCACTCAGTGGGGATGATCCCCTTCCAAACAAATTTTTGTTATGGAACTACTTATTGTATTTCAACTATTTTATCGTAAATCCTGTTGAAACTTCTGGAACTTCACCAGGTACCTTCCCCTCACAGACAGCTTATCGCCTAGTGATGCAGTACTGCAAGTCACCCAACTATTTAGGGTTTAACAGATTTGGTTACTTGGCACCATTCATGAACAGACTTGTATTCATGTTTTTAAAGTTAAAAAAATGAATGAGAAGAAAACACGACTCAATAATTGTGCAGCCAATGTGCCGGCTCTCGCCCAGACAAATCAAGGTCACAAGTACAGAGAGCTCAGCGGGAACAAATGAAGGCCAGCCCAGTTGCTAAGGCTCAGCATAAACAGAGCAGGGAACTGGGATTTGGGACAATTAATATGACGCTGCATGCTGGTTTGCTGTATGTTATACTGAATTAGACATCCCACAGTTTTTCAATAATCCACTGTATTCATCTTCTAGATCATTTTCCTTTTGTTTGTTTCCCAGCTAAGCCCAATCTTACATATCAAATTACAGGCAATGCTGTCATTTAAATTTCCAAAGAAAACTACAAAGTGGTTAACACAACAGGTCATTTTGAAAGGCCAATGCTGACCCTTTGTCTGGAAAAAAAATAATTTTATAACAAACTGAATGATCATTAGCAAAAGCTCATGCGCTGCTTAATATGAATTATCTACTATATATGAACTATATAGTACTATACATGAACTATATTTAACATAAATGATTTGCATTCCGCTGAGAAATGTGATGAAAATAGAATATTATTTAAAAGTCCTTCAACGAACAAAGATTTTCTAACTAATGTTACAGCTCACACTTTACGGGGAAAAGATCTAAAGAAACCACCATTTCTAAAAGGAGAAAAATGATTTCCCCTAGAGCTCTTTTCTTGGATGAGTCACTACAATTTGAAGATGCTTTCAGTATGAATAAGACACACCATAGGCCAGTTACACAACAAACAAGTTTAAACTTGCACCACAGAAAAATGATATAAATTTTAGTCTGTTACAGACTTAGATATAGATAGATAGTAAATCAATCAATCTCACAAGTAATGGCTCATGACACAACTTCAATCAAAACCTGAGTTACAATTTGTATTGTACAAAAAATTGTCATGAACAAGTCTTATAATAATGCTCTGAAATGATAAAACAGCAGCTTCTTTTGATTCCATCTTTTACTGACATAAATGTTTTGCTTGGATACCTTCCCTTACCTTTTACATGCCTGTGTTTTTCCATGCTTACGATTGGCCTGGGCAAAGATTGCTAAAAATATTTTTTCAAAGCTGTAAGTTCACACTGAATGAAGCACTCTGCAAATTATCAACCTTCCATAGGTATAAAATTCATCTGATTTTCACCAGGATATGTAAATCCAAACGTAATTTGATATCATATAGCAATGTGTGTTAAAAGTCCCACTGTAATGTCATGTCACGCAATAGCATTGAAATACTAATGAGTCTGGTCACAACATTCAGTGAAGGACCAATGATTCAAACTGTTTATGTTTAATTAGTTAAGGTTCACTGGGAAATAACTTTTCATCAAAACAATATTTGGTTAATCCTTTACCACTTGTAATAAAATGCCAAAGCAAATGAATGCATAGAACTGGTAATTTATTTCACCCAACAGGTCTGAAATTCAGCTTTATGTGGGTGCAGAGTTCTTAAAATAACACATTTCATATTCATAAATGTGCAGTATCTACAAGATGCTGGAGAAACTATTCTCAGTCCATGAGAAATCTATGGAGAAGTATTACGTTACTGTGGAACTTGGGAGTGTATTTCATCTAGACCTTGTTCAGGATAATAATGTAAACTCAGCAAGTCGCCTTGTGAAGACCTTACAGAGCTTATCTTTTTATTTCTTGAATGTCAGTAAATTCTGAAGTTTTTGTGGACAAAATGTTTTGCTACAATAACCTTCTGAGTGACATGCTCCATGTCAGGACAGCTTCACCATTATTACACTACACACAACTGACCCTTGTGTGGTTCCTGAACCTCAGCTTTAAGAGCAAGCCTCAAAGAAGAGGAAAACATGTTTTTCCTCCTCAAAAGGCTGCCACTTTCAACTTAGTTCTTGCTTTTTTTTTTCTACTGTGCACCAATTCCCTCTTAAGCAATATCAAAATGTTGGCTGTCTCTCAGCAAAGCAAGAAACCTAGAAAAAAAATGAAAACAAATGAACACAAAGATACAAAAGGGCGTCTAGCCCATCTACATAAGTGAGAAGGACAAAACCACGTTGGAAACAGATCTGCTCTTATAGCCTGTTGATTAATGCTACAAAATACCATCCTTTCGCCAAATCATGATTACAGTGAAACTCTTCAGCTAAGACTGAGGCTGCCAAACTTCCACCCAGAGTAAGATACACACTCTCTCTCTCACTCTTTCTGTCTCTCTCTCTCTCACACATACGCAGACGCAGTACCAGATCCCAACGAACCTCAACAAGCTACACAAATCAGAAATCATTTCATTTCAAATAGGGCATTAACGCGATGATAAAATTACCTCCACAACTAAAACACTTTCAATCTAAGTGCCCGCCGAATAACTGTACACCTGTGATATACGACCAAGTAAAACAGCCAGTCCACAGCTGTTTACTGTAACTGACACCAAGTATAAACTAATTATCTACTGTATTTTGGAATGAGCCGCACAAAGTCCATAACAAGTCCGGCGTATCTTTCCCGGCTCCCCCTCACATATATACACACATATAAGCACAAACAAGACACTGTCTGCCCAACTTTCAACAAGTTAATTAGTCAATAGTGTAACTATCATCCGCACATAAGAAATATAAGTTTATGAGCTTTGTTCTAGCAAAAGCGAATAACAGGCTAAATAAATGACTGGTAATAAAGCGGCAGCATCACCGAGCCCAGTCCCGCTTAGCAGCAGCAGCAGCGCGCGCGGCGCGTCCCCGGGGCCGCCGGGGCTACGCTGTTAGCGCGCGTGCCAGGCAATTGGGATCCCTCAAAACACCGCGTACTTTAAACCCGACAAGCCCCAGACGGTCGGCTTCCATCCCGACAAACGCGAAATGAGATAAAAACGTCAAGCGAGCGACGGGGGAAGCTGCCAACTAGCGACGGGGCGTCTGCTTACCTGACTCGCTTTGTGAAACTGCTTCTTCAGCCCGGCCACCGACATCCTTCAAATCTTTACGACACCTTGCCAGACTGGGGAAGGAGAAGTAGAAACACGCACAAAACAAAAATAAAAAACTGAACTGGAGGACAATGGAAAGGGGGAGCGGGAGGGGAGGGGGGTTTGCTGGGGGGCGTTGTTGATGCTGCTGCGACGGCTTGCAGGCTTTCTCTGCGTGTCCGAGACACCCCCCCCAGAACGAGTGCCGCTCCGCGACGTACCAAACGCTGAATGCTAGTTGTTGGGAGGCGCGATCCCGGCCCAGGTCCTGCGTGGACGCCGATTGGCGGAGAGCGGCGCGCTGATGCAAATGAAGGCTCCAGGGAAAGGGCGACGTTGGGCATGGGCCGCGCGACCTCATAGGGCGGAATAACGGATTTACCCAATCTGATAGAATAAGCAGCGTTTTTCCCCCGAAAAACGGCAGGCTATTCTGGGTTATTTTCGACAAGATGTTTTTATTCTCTAAATAAAGAAAACAGAGAGAGATAGAGAGAGCGATCGTTTACCATTGCCAAATAAGTTGAGATCTTCGAAGAAAGCTGACATTTTTATTGTTTTCTTTCCCATTCTGCAACTGAAGAATTGACTTGTCGTTTTGCACAACGTTAGCCCATGCTGTATTCAGAAAATTCTTAGATCTTGTGAGGAACCTTGAAATGTAAACATTTAGGAATACGGTCATCCATATTCTATCAAGTAACAGTTTCATATTCAACCAGTTTTGTCATTAATTTGTACTCACTGTAAATCTCCATGAAAGTATATATTTATATGGTTTTATTACCTAGGTTCCAATTCCAAAATCCCAGCCACACTTATATTTATTAACTAGACAAACTATTTGTCCTTGCATCGTTTTGTAAGTAATTTATATAATACACAGTTACAGTAACAATTATATAAATGCAATTTTTATACTATAATGATTACAATATTTCATTAATCCCTCACCTCCCATATACTAAACACATTGTTCTTATACACGTGCAGGTCTAATACAAATACAGTGGTACCTCAGTTCTCACATTTCTTAAAAGTCGAACCAACCAGTTCGGAAAAAAATGACCTAGAACTCGATCTGAATCTCAGAAGTCGAACCGTGAACACAAATTTAAATGAGTCACACAGCACGTCTCTCAGTGAAAACAAAGGGTAAGGCTTCAGTCTCAGCCTCGCATTCCTTGTAATAGCATCCTGCATGTTTACACTAGCTGAATACATATATTTAGACAGTAAAAATACATTTAGACAATGATAGACAGTAACATTATTTATTATATAATATAATACATTTAAAAATAAAGATTTCTTATTAATTATTTTAATATTAATAATAAATCATTAATACATTTAATTATAATAATATTGCCGTGCTGATCGGGGATGGACAAAGGCGCAGACGTCAGGGTGTCGGAGAATACGGGATTTAATTACAGGTAAGGCAGGCAAAACGCAGACGGACAATACAATGACTGGACTGGGGAAACAAACTGAAACGCGGACGAAATAGAGGGCTAATGACAACAACCAGAAACAGGTGATCACACGGGGATTCCTAACGAGGGGGCGTGGCACACGGAAGGAGCGGACGATCGGGGCAGGACACTTTGTTTTTTTTTTAACTTTACACATTGATGATACAATACATGATACATTTATTTTCTTACTTTACAAATTACCGTTTTGATAAATGTTCTTAGATGTGTTTAGTACAGTATATGCTCTTGTTTTATCCTGTTTATTTTGTGTTTAAATGCTAAAAAAAAAAAAAAACATATTTAGGTGTAATTTTTTGGGGCCGGGAATCAATTAATTGGTATTCCATTATTTCTTATGGGGAAAATTCGATCAGAACTCAAACTTCTTAGGATTCGATCCAGTGTTCTGAACGGATTAAGTTCGAGTTCTGAGGTACCACTGTAATTATTAAATTCTCTCAAATACTTTACAACACCAGATTGTGCATAACAAAGGAAATATTTCCGAACAAATAACATAAAAAACGATCTATAAAAACATCAGTGTAGCACACCTGCACATGGCAGAATATGGTGTCAATATGAATTGTAAGCTGCTGATTATGTAACAGTTATTTTTGTATTTTATCATTTGCTACTGAGTTATTAGCACTGCTTTCCACAGTTGCAGGTTTCACAAATATGATTTTATATTAGCATTTCTGTGTATTGTAGAGGCTTTTATCCATACATTTATCTGATATTTGTATCCAAAGCAACAGGAAGGGGTTACAATTTTTATGTGTGCTTCTCGGGATTTGAACCTATGACCTTTGCACAATGCTCTACTTGTTGAGCTACAGGAGCTTAATGTGCGATGGATTAATATGCAATGAAAGAACATCCATCTTTCCACCACTTATTCAGTATAAGGTCACAGGAGGGTCTGGGGTCTCCTCTCCAGGATGGGGCAAAATGCAGGGAATCCCTGACAATGGAAAGTCAGTTCATCTTAGGGTACAAACACTAGTGTTGTAGTTCTCGAGACCTGTCTTGGTCTCGAGACCAA